CTATCTATCTATCTATCTATCTATCTATCTATCTATCTATCTATCTACCTATCTACCTATCTACCTATCTCCCTATCTACCTATCTACCTATCTATTTATCTATCTATTTATCTATCTATCTATCTATCTATCTATCTACCTATTTATCTATCTATCTACCTATCTACTTTCTATATATATATATATATATATGTATCTATCCAGGTTTTTAATTCTATTATACTTAATTAAGTCTCCATAAGAGGTAAGATAGAGCCGGATAGTCTTCTTGTCCTTGTCTCAATTTGAGACTTTAACAAGAATGAGTTCCAGCTCCGAGGATGTCCATCGAATGATGGACGAAAGCTGAGCCCGTTTTCACCCGAAACAAGGGAGGAGGTCTCGTGGACTGCGTCAATCGGAACGTGGTATCAAAGCCAAACGCCTGCAGTAAAACGCGATTTATCCGTCCTCTTCTGGTGAGATCGACCTACGAGTTTATTCTTCATTCACTTTTATACAAAATGAAAGTCCCCCTAACAATGTTATCTCAAGAAATTCATCGAAACCCAGTTTATCTTAATATCTACTTTACACTACTCATGAGTAGAATGCAAGAAAATCCTGCATTTTCTAATCCTACCCAACAGCCACAAGTATTTTCCACTCGACCAGCTATAGTCATTCCAAATTCCTTTCTTCTTTTCTTCCTTTCTTTCCTCACTTCTTCTTTCCTTTTTTTCTTTCTTTCTTTCTTTCTTCCTTCCACTCTATATCTATCTATATATGTCTTTTCTTTTCTTTTAGCTTAATTGAGTCTCTATAAGAGGTAAGATAGAGGCGAAAAGTTTTCTAGTCCTAGTCTCAATTTGAGACTTTAACAATAATGTGACCCAGTTCTGATGACGTCTTTCGAATGATGGACGAAAGCTCAGCCCATTTTCACTCGAAACGAGGAAGGGGATCTCGTAGACTGCATCAACCTGAAGGTCGCATAAAAGCCGAACGGCTGCAGTACAACGCGATGCAATCGTCCTCTTCTAACGAGATCGACCTATGAATCTCTTCTTCATGCACTTTCATACAAAATGAAAGTATCCTCAACATTGAATGTCCTCGTGAGGATGATTTCATGCTCTGGTGACGTTCGTCATACGACGGACGAAAGCTTGACATGTTTTCACCGAATTCGATGGCGATTGCCCCGAAAACAGCATCAACAAGGAGGTTCCAATAGAGACAATAAATGTCTGTCGTCGTCTTCTGATGGGATCAAGCTGCGAATCTGTTCACCAAACTCTTTCACCCGAAATGAAAGTACACTCAATATTTATGCAAGAAGATACGCCTCTAAACCTAACTTTTTTTCGCATGCACAATAAAAAGGATTTCAACTCGCCGCCTACCTCGTAGATACCCACCATTTTGAGTCGATTGCCAGTTCAGATGTACTGGAAGAGGAAGAGTGTGATGAAGCAGAAGAGCATGGCTCCAGAAACTTGGATTGGAAGTCATGATTCATGTGCTGATGCCGATGGCAGTCGTCATGTGACGTTGTCGGAACAGCGAGTTCATGTCTCACCCAGCCGCTGTTCACCTCCAATGCGTCGATGGGGCGAAAACTGCATTCGTGTCCACCTTCTGGCCTTGTGGAGCCCGATTTCGCTTCCTCCTCGTCAATCAAGACTCTTGTCTGTGCTCTCTCCTCGCCGGGAAACTGGTTCGCGGAAACATGTTTGAGACAAGTCACCGTCGACGCCTCCATCGAGGTCCCTGTTGCAAGATTGAGACCACCGACTCCGTCCTCGTCAGCCTTGACCGCGGGCCAATTCATCTGCTCCCGCCTCCACTGCCCATTCGTTGTTGTCTTTGTTGTTGTCATCGCCGTTGTCACCGCCGCCTCGGTCGTCACGGTGACACCGGTCGCGTGCGTCGGCGACGAGGTTGAATGGCCGAGTTGCATCGCGCTCGGTGACGATCGCATCAAGTGACCGAGGACACCGAAGCCGGATGCCGGCTTTGCGGAAACATGAGGCCGCGATTGACCGCTCCAAGGTTGTCCCTTTTGCCGGCATGTCGAGGAGAGATTGGAGCATCCGTTGGCTTCGAAGTGGGCCGGTCCTTGAGACTGCGCTTCGATGGAGGCGGCGAACGCGAGGAACCCGCCACCTGATCGACAAAGATGTATTTAATTCGTGGAATAAGATATTTTGGAAAATGTTGTCCTTCTTCTGAAGATTCAGGTGTGGTTGGTCTCAAACAAATCAACAATTAATATTGCCTTTCCAGAATTCTTGCCACCCTCTATTCGAGCATGTGAACAAAGACTGGCTCTAAAAGACTCCCTTTGTGAATAAGTGAGACTCGAAATTTTATTTTGAAGGAAAATTTGGTCGCAAGAAATGTGCGATTCAGTCTTGGAGTGGACTGAGGATTATTTAATTCTACAAATTAGCCATCAACTCCCCACCACGCGACCCCGGGGAACCGGTTGCGAGCTTTCGGTTTCCACGAAAAAACGCAAAAGCAAACCAAACTTGTATAATTAATAAATGGAAAGGTGTAGATATATCAGAAATAATCTATAAATGGACAAACATTACTGTAGCATATAGTATATAATACATAATATATAGCATATTAAGTTGTTACATTGTATTTATTATTTTATATATAATTAGATAGTATACGATATACTAAATTGTCTAAAATCTCAACTTGAACGTTTACTGAGCTAGATTTGTCTGAATTATCCTTCTACTAACCGAACCCTAGGGTCTCTTAAGGTCATACAACTTAAGAGTGATACCATAACGTTTACAACAGTTTAAAAAAGAAAGATGGGAAGACTGACTTACAATTGTCTTCTTTGTCCGGCTGTATTCAGTGCATTGTTTGGCAATTATACTATCGTAGTTTGGTTGAATATATGAAGACCAAGATGTTGTGACCTCTGGTATGGTCGCAGTCTCCCTTCGATGTATAAAAGTGGGTTGACCTCATTGTCGCAACTTGGTCTTGTTGGCGAAACGTTTGAGAATGTACCAAGTCGACTGTCTGATGCTGGGACTCATGACAACTACTCTGGCAGACGACTTCGGACTAGGTGCGTTCTAAAAGTCGCCCTGACAACGAGACCAAGTTGCAACAACGAGGTCAACCCACTTCTAAACATCGAAAGGAGACTGCGACCATACCAGAGGTCACAACATCTTGGTCTTCATATCTTCAAACTTGTATAATTAATAAATGGAAAAGTGTAGATATATCAGAAATAATCTATAAATAGACAAACACAAATTTAACATATGGTATATACTATATAATATATAACATATTATGTTGTTACATTGTATTTATTATTTTATATATAAATAGATAGTATATGATATACTAAATTGTCTAATACTTTGGTTTAATATGTTGCAGAGCTTTTTCGTACAGG